TAAAAATTATGCCTGACACAGTAATTAATTGCAAGCAATTATTATCCAAATATTTACGTAATTCGACCGTGGAGACAAAATAAGTTTGTCAATAAGTTATTTAACGATGATTCCAAGAGAATTATATGGAAGATACGAGAAAAAATGAATGTGTCCTACATAAAAGTTCGTATCGATGAGTACTTTATCCATATTAACCTGCTAAAAAGTCGAAAGTGCTACACGAGGATTTTACGTATTCGTGGGACAACTGGAACAGTCGAAGCACGAACAGAATTTAGGTATTGTTTTTAGCTCGCTAGAATTACGAAGAGGAGGAATTGACCACTTTGGACTTGAGGTCGCTTTAACCCATCGCACTCGAAGCTAGTCTAATTCGAAATCCGAAACATGTTTTCCGACATACAATAACAAAATTAAAAAAGGGTATTTCAGTCATTGGACAGTGAACTAGTTGTTTTAACATTTCCAAAAATTTCAAGTCATTTAGTCCAGTTTTGAAAAAGTTATTGCATTTCGAAAGCTGTTCGAACAATTTTTGCTAGAAATTGTACGAGCGAATTTGATGATGTATCAACTACTTAATAACTTAATAACTTAATAAATTAATAACTTAATAACTATTTTAGAACTTTAGACACATTCTAGAGTTACCATTCGTGTGCGAAGCATTAAAAAACCGCTTCTGCCTTGTCATTGAAATATTTATATTATACGAGTTACCTCGAAATTTCGCTGCGGTAATGAAGACTTCTGAACTCGGTGTGAACCGAGCCGAGAGAGATTCAAATTCCCCTCTTTGTCTTTCGCATTACGGTGTCACACATCAGCCGAGCAAGATTCATCCGCCGGGCCGGTAGTCGCGGGGATGAAAGGCGTCTCGTTCTGAGGTAGCCCCTGGCCAAGAAAAGGGAGGCGGGGTTCAAAGTTTATGCCGGCGCTTTTTCCTTTGTGGTATCATCGGCGTGTCTCAAACGGTTTCGCCCATGGTTTCATCCCTCCTGGCCGGCCGATTCGCTTCTATGTCGGCCGGGCAACATACCGGGGCTAAACGAAATTAAAACGTCGAGGTAAGTTTTTGCGGGCCACGCGGATCGGCGGTGGGTGCTCCATGGTCTGGCGAAAGGGGTGGGTCGGGGTTGAGACCGCGGGGGGGGGGGGGCAGAGTTGCAGCTCGGTGAAGGGTGTCCTCTCGTCCCCCGGCCGCCGTTCTTCCATAAAAGTGCCGCGAATGCCTGCCGGCACGAGAGACTTGACCTTTGTGCCTGGCAACATTATTAAGTCCTTTGGGGCGGGCAAAGGGCCTCCCCTACCGCGACGCTGGGGAATTAGAGAAGACATTCGAAAACGGAATAACTTCAAAATTCTTCCCCGGCTAACCGGCCAGTGGGCAACTCCACGACAACTGCAAGAATCCGTCTGATCTTTCCGCCGCGATTGCCTTTCGCCGCTTGAACCTCGTCCGTCTTCAGCTATCTCCCCTTTGTCTCGTTCTATCTCCCTCGTCTCACCCCTCCCTCTGCTCCTTGTTAGTGTCGCACAATCGGAACCCGTTATTCTCTCGCAATTTTCGGGCGGACTTCCCCCCTAAAACAAGACACAATCAAGGAATTGTTGGCCCCGGTCTCGGCGCCGCGCGTAAATAATACGCGATTCCGTTTCTTCGGTGCCCGCGGATTCCCTCCGCCGCCGCATTCGGCTCTCGTGTTTCAATGCTAGTCGCACGCCTTTTGTGCCTGTATCTGTATTATGATATTGATTTTGTGTTTCTATTATGATACATTACTCGGACGAGTTTATCCCTTCCAGTTCTTCGGACTAATTACATCCTGCGAATTCCGTTTACGGTATTATCGGTTTACGGGAATCGCGCGAAGCTCCGGCCAGCAACGACTTTATGCGGAAATTAGACTGTGTGCTTAATTGCGACGACGTCGCAAGCTGGGATTTTTGGTCTGTTTGTTGTTCGTGGCCGGTGAGATCACAGGTTGGTGGTTTCGAATTTTTTTGCCGCAGCTGTTCTATTTACTTAGTTGCATCATCAATTTAACTGTTAAAATGATTACAGTTGTTGTAATTTTGTGAATCATTATCGTTGCATATTGAACGTATATTCGTTTTAAAGCTTGAAGATTTTACATTTACGGTGTATAGTTCATTTTTTTATGTGATTTCTTTGCATGATATGGCGAAGAGGAAACTGAAGGCTGTGCTTTTGTGAAAAATGTTGTAGATACAGGCGTTTGTAAAAACGTTAATAAATTTTTCTCGCAGCTGACACTATAATACATTTGAAGATCTAAGTTTCCTCTTTACAATGACTCCTGAAAATCCTATCTACGATTTTATCTCGCCGATTTATGAAATAGAAATAATGCACCTTATTTATCTTATATGTATATATTTCTGTATAATGTAGAATCAGTATAAGAAAATATGTCGATATTTGGGCTGTTATAATTTCGTAAAAAAAAGAGCCAGAACATAATAAATATGGACTTATATTGAAGCTTGAAGCTTCTACTTACAATTCCATCGACTATTTCTTCCAACCATGCTTTTGCAACTCACAGCAAACGGGAAACTGAAGACGTAGGTTTACTCGAAAATATTACAAATTGGTACATCTCCAGAACCATTGAAACACTTTTTCCACGAATAAATCGACAATGGATTTGAAGATCAAAGCTTCCCCTTTACAATGACCTCTCAAAACTTGGTACACAACACTTTTTCGTCGTTTTATGAAACGGAAACGAGAAACAAGTTCGGTCTTGTAGAGCCCTCGTGCGCCTTGTGTTATCGCGAAGTAGACGATACACCTTTCATTCGAAGCTCGATAGAGTGACCAAAAAAAAATCGTACATCAAAGTTTGAGAGGTCGTTAGAAGCGGAAGGCTTTAATCCTGAAATCTGCGTCTGGATCGATCGCGAACAAAATTTTCCAGCGTATTTACCGGCGTTTAAATCGCTAACGTTTTCCGGAAAAAGCATGTGTCCAGTTTCCCACCTGTTACATTATGCAAAAACACGTGACAGGAAAATGAACGATGCAAGGCGTAAATAGAAACTTCGAGCTTCAAAATGAGTCCAGGCTCGTTGCTGCACGACACGCCGTTACGAAATCATAACAGCTCAAATATTAACAATTTGATCCAAATCGGGAATGCTATGTACGAATAATATTTCACAATGACCTTAGCCCTATCATTCGTAGTTCGATAAAATCTCTAACAAAACAAAGATCCCACATAAATTTTGAACACGTAAAATTGTAGAGAGTAGATTTCGGTCTTGAAATCTGCGTGAAAAAGAATTTTCCATGATTTTAGTGCCGTCCCAATTCGTAGCTCTTTTGCCCCATTTGTGCTCCATTTAGGCAGAAGAATGATGGAAGCGTTGTAATGCTTTCAGGCTGTGTTTAGTTTATCGCAAAACGTTCGTGAAGCCTTTTAAAATCATTGACCTGGTTTTAATTCCATAAATTCGCAGACACCGCACGTTCTATGGATCTTTCACAAATTACCAGGGCTTTTGTTTTGCGCGAAGAGCACGCAGACGTGGAAATTCTTTGTGACATACAATGTACTTCCCATTTCCGCTGCTGTAGGACGAGTAAGAGCTCGTTTTACTTTGCAATTTACGTCATCGCGGGACATCGATACGTTCCTGTTTCGCGTCTGCCTGGGCTGAAGTGTACGATGACACACGGAACAACGGGAGTCTATTTCATTATTACTCCATCATTCCCAGCATTTCGTTCCCATTTTATACATTATACAATACGAGAGGGCTTTGATGTTCCTGCTGGCACCTTCCATCCTCCATCATATTTCCTTTCTTCCTGCCGTTCCTTCCTCCACCATCACCCTCTTCTCCCTCATTTCTCTCTTCCTCTCTCCCGCGCTCTCTCTCTCTCTTTCTCTCTTTCTCTCTCGCCCTCTCTTTTGCTACTCCAGGGGCGTCTCTCGCTCCTCCAGCAGTATGCTAACAGAGGTTAAGAATTATGCGAAATTGCGCGCCGCCTCGGGGCGAACCGGCAATGGAACAGCGAGAGACGCGAATTCGCGTCGGTTTAACGAGCCCCTCCGAATGAGGGATGCGAGACAAAAAGAAAGTAAAATATTAATACCCATAGCCGTGAGGGTTGTGCTGCCGTGCGTTATATACCGGGCGTGATCCAGCATGGATCGGCGACGGCCAGCGCTAAAAACCATCCGCGGACGTTAATAAGAACGAAAGAGAAAAGTTCATTAAGGGGCGCGGTGTTATACCTACCTGGGAAAGAAACGATCCGACGTCCTGCGAAATTAGATTGGTATCTATGATCTTGCTCCGAATACTGGCAAGTTAAATGGTCGGACTTTGGCAGGCCATTCTACCGCGAAAAATTGGAAAGAATGATCCAATTAAACGGGCTCTCGCTTTCGTTTTTTTTTTTTTTAATGGGAACCGAGCGCGCCCAGGGGCAGGCTGCGATTTTCGGAATATTAACCCGCGGAACTCAATTCGGAATTTTTAATGCGGAAACATGGGGGGGATCTTCGCGGAAAATTGTAACGAAAATAGTTCGGAAGCATCGTCGAGTTGCGAAATGCGAGTTAACAGATTCAGACGTGGACCCGGTGACTGGGCACAATCTCCGGAAAATGTTTCAGAAAGCGTTGCTTTGCATATAGATTCGTATGAATTTTAAAATAAGATCCACGACGGGCGAAACATTTGTTATCGGGGAGAGAGAGAGAGAGAGGAGAGAGGGCGCGTTACAGTTCAATGAAATAATTGAATAAAACAATTCCAGCCTTCTGCTCTCGTGAATAATATGTAGATTCCTCTATATTTTAAGACCCACCACGGATCAAAAGTGCCTGCATTTTAATACAATTGGCAATCCGGCAATCCTGCAGTGAATATCGAGGCTCGCGCGCGACATTATTTTTAATTGATTAACATGATTGAATTGCTGCTTCAACATCGCGATTTCCTCCGCTCTGTTACAGATACCGAACCATCTGGTCTGGCTGTGCTTCTTCTACTTGATATTCCATTCGTTCTTTAATCTGCTCGGCGAGCTGCTGCATTTCGCCGATCGAAATTTCTACTGCGACTGGTGGAACGCAAATAACATCGACACTTTCTGGAGGACGTGGAACATGCCGGTGCACCGATGGGCCGTGCGGTAAGCTCGATCATTATTATCGTCATTATTAACCGGCTTTATTAATCGTATCCACCGTGCTGCATAAACTAATAAACAGACTGCGAATGCTGGACATTTATTTTCCTCCTGTTCGCTCGCGTACTCGCGTACGTTCCGATCAAATCGGGCCTCCTTTCCGTTTATTTTATTCCAATTCTCACCGAGTCGTGGCTCTAATTGCAATTCTTCACGTTGTACGCAAAGATCTAATATTTCTATTATTATCTTGTTAAGCAAATTTATTAAAAATTGATTAATTCGGTATCGTAGGTAACACGTTAGTTCTTCTTCCTCAAGTATAAATTGATTTATCAGTTAAACAAGTTCAACAAGCTCTTTCAAAATTTTACGAAAAGATTGAATGGACCTTTGCATTTTCTTCGTGCTACGACTGACGGTTGCTTGTGTCGTGAAAAGTATTATCGCGTTCACGCTATGATTGGTTTTTAACTCATTTAGGATTGTTTTCGATCTAATCTTATTATATATTAGACTCTTTAAAATATTATATAATAAACTTTTTATATATTAAACTTTTAAAATTTATCTCGTAGAGTAAATATAATCTGAAGTCCATTTGAAAGTGTTAAATACAATATAACGAGTCATAATTCTTGCTAAATTTAAACAAAATTTGTTTCTTCTGTCATCAAAATCTAGAAATGAAAGTAAATTAAGTATTCAAACAGAAATTGTCCAGTTCTATTACAAAAATTACTTAAGTGGAAGAACTGCTAATCAACGTACCTGTAATCGAGATCACATTGCAAGTGGTTAATTTGTACTTCTAAATAGGAATATCGTTATCTAAAAGACATTCCAATTGTTTACCAGAATAATTCAGCCACCCTGTACAAATCAATTGACAGCCATCGTAATGCAGTCCGCCGAGGATCGACGTGTTCAACACTCAATCGATGCCCCGCGAAAAAAGCGTCGAAGAAATCCGCCGATCTTAATTACGAGCTTCTCGTATTTGCATCGGCAAATTATTTCGGCAAAGTTTGACGCCCCCGACTGTCCCAGGCAGCCGGGTATTTCGATGCCGTCGATCACCGTCGCCGGCGAAACCGACCGCGGCTCGTTGGGCGCGGAATTTGAAATCGGAATAAATATGCCAGGGTGTCGGTGGAGGATCGGTCGCGGCCGCGCTGGGAATTAATTAAAGGCGGTGTCGAGGGCCGGCTGTTCATAAACGCGTCCGCGGATTAATTTGCCGAAATAAACGGTGGCACAGAAGATCTTCGTCGACCGGCTGCGGGGGCGGTTCCGTTCCGCTGCGGAATAGTTTTCAAACACGGGCCGGCCGGTCCGACACCCTTTTCAGTTACACGGACATTAAAAGTAGTACTTAGAGTGACAGCGGTCCTATGTATACGTATACAGGGTGTCCGATCATAAATGTCCAAGCAAGTATCTCGTGACACGAAAGTTTCACAGCAGAAATTCGCGTGGTTTTATTTGTGGCTTATTTATCTGTTTTTTTTTTATATTTGTAATCTTTCTGAGTTACGAGTGCATATTTAGTTGGTAGAGGTCGTTTTTAATGAAAATGATATGTTGTTAAAAACTGCTTTTATGCATCGTTTAGAAGAGAATTAGCATATTAAATAGGAGAGGCGTCTCTGATAGTCGGCGTCGGAAACATAAGCTCTTCAGCATGGACATCAGAGAGATACAATACAAATTACAATAATTGACTAATTGACTAATTGACGCTTAACTTGTACACAAAAATGGAAAATTTGGTAGCAGGAGGTACGATTAATCGAGCCTTGCATCTCGTTTTGGTAGTTGACAATCTGTAACTATAAAAACGAGCAGAAAGGCTCGAATAATCGCATCTCCTCTTCCCAAATCGCCCATTTTTGTGTACAATCTGAGCGTCAATCAGGGAGAATTTACTATCATAATCCTTAAGATGCCGAGTATCTTCTAAACGATGCATAATAGCAGTTTTGAACAAAACATCGTTTAGACTGCAAATGACCTGTACTAGCTAACTATGCAAAAAATATTATATGCATCCATTTAAAAGAACTTGACCTTCAAAACTCGGAAAGATCACAGAAGGAATAATTCACTAAAAATTACTCGAAACCGTGTGAATTTCTTCTATCAAGCTTTTCTGTACCTGCAACCATTTAGGAGACATTTAGCTTGGACATTCATGGACGGACACCCTGTATATGTATAGTTCTAAATATATATATAGTTCTATATATATATATGCGGAACGAGCGAGAGAGACGGTGTGACAAGGGGTGGAGGGGATAGAAGCTAAAACAATTAGCCGCGCAGCAGTTTCCACAGGGTTAAAAGGGGTGGCGGTCGAGGGGCGAGCAGGCGACGGGCAGGGCCTCTGATTCACGGAAATTTCTCTTCCTTTTCGGAGGGCAGACAGGAGCCGGGTTCTCGCGAAAAATGTAATTAAATCTCCTTAAAGCGGGGCACACTCGTTAACGAAGTTTAGCCGCTTAGGCGGAAAGAAGCTCGATCAAAAGTACGACCACGCGGCTGGATACCAACTTCCACCTTTTCCACCGTGCCCCCCCTTCTTCCACGCTTTTCTTCCCGAGACTTCGTTTTTTATTTCGTCCTTTTTCCACATTTCACCGTACTCCGTCCTGTCTTCATTCCTTCATTGAAGCCGGATCCCGCGCCCATTCAACGCGAACCGAGCGAGACCCGTACTCTCGCGCTCCCGCACTTCAATCCGCGATCCGAACGTCTGAGAATGACTTACGAATTTGTTTGAAAGGGGAACACTGGTGCGGAGTGACGGGAATGTTCCAGGCGTTGAACCGGCTGTCTGCGAGGATCCACCGGAGATCAGCGGTGTACAGATTTTTGACAAATTTCCGCTCGGAGCGCTCCTGTCCCGACGAATTTTAAGCTGAGCTCCCGGGTCTTTAATGTCCTTTGACTTTCGTCCCGACAGATGTCTTTGAGAGCTTTTAATTACATCGTGTTTTATTCTCTTCTAACCGAATTGACCGAGATTCTCCGTCTATAATTATTCCCCTGGTAGAAGCAGACGATTTTTATTTCGTCCGTATCAGTACGTATTTTAACACATTATCTGCTGGGAATCATTTTGTATGTTCTGAAAATCTACAATTTACGGTAAAAAAATTTTCAGTTAATTGTTTAGTAGAACTAATTATTTCATATACAGACATGTCTATTTTAATTCCCAGATTTTGGCAACAGAGGAATCTTGTTTCGATTCAACTCTCGTATGTGTCTCTCTCTCTCTCTCTCTCTTTTATTTTCTCAATTTAATTTGTTCTTTGGTCTCAAATCGATGCAATGGAAATAGATTAATGTTATAGGAAGATTAATAATAGTATAGTAACAGAGAATAAAGAAGATTAATAATAGTTAACTTTACACGAAAATCAAAGATGACATTAAATATGTCAGAGATGTGATTATTAGCTGTAAGTAACTGATTGGTAATCATTCGTAATGAATCAGTAAACTGAGGATCTTTATGCGAAATAATGAGAGTTGCAACAACCAGTTGTCAGGTACAAACTTCTTACTTTCTTCAAGAGTTGTACTGACTTGAAAATGATACAATGACACTCTTAAATTCCCTTAAGCTGTCTAGTGTTCTAAATTTGACTTATTATTTATTTAAAATCGGTGAGAGATGTGTCAAATAACAAGAATAATGGACAAGCGTTGAAGGTAACCAATAACATTTATATTTAATAGATGTCTATGCCTGTCCATGCCTTATTAATTATTTCTGCAGAGTAGTTTTACAAGTAACGTTAGTATTTTTAATCAATGTTCGAGCGAGCCGTCTCATAATAATTTCATCCAAGCTTTTGCTGCCGCAATATACATATACTGTTAAGTGACGCCAATATTCGCGGGACAGTTGAATTCTCCGATGTGAGAGACTGTGCACATTAATCATTGTTTCTCGTCCTGGATACGCTCGTTTCATACATTTCACCAAGCTTTGTAGAATTTGGTTCGTTTGAAGCCAGAGCAGATTCTACATACTCGAAGCCCAAAATTAAAAGCCGTTCGATTCATCATTGACCGACCGTAACCTCGTAGTAACTTCTTTGATTTGTTCCAATTTGAAGCTGTCCTCGACATACGTGGCATCATAATCGCCAATGGGAGAATATTAAACGTCAGAATACTAAGTGACTTGCAACGTTTTATAAGCTTGTTCGGGAAGTAATGTCATTTTTATTAAGGGACCGTGAAAAGCGATTTTTAATATTCCGAGTAAATTATGTTTGATGATGCATTAAAACGTTTTATATCCTTTCGATATTTAATGAGATTTCGAGTTGCTTGGCTTTCGAGATTTAATCAATTTTACGTGACAAAATTACTTTCCGAACAATCTAACACTTCGATTAACGATTCTTTGTCGGTAATAAAATTACTTTAATGTTTAAATATCGATAAGAGAAAAGCAGAATTTTATTTAGATTTGAGAGGTTTTATTTAGATGTTACAACAGGGTGTGAAGAAAATTCTCTCCGTTCATCAAGATCCGCTCCTTTTTTCCTGCAAAAGTTCAATGTACATATCTATTTTGTTTTTCGAATTCTTTACCTTTTTTTACGTCAATTAATACTATTCATGTATATTTCAGCTTCGAAATGAAATACATAAAGTGAGGGTCACAATTATTGAATGATAATTACAATTATTGAATCATCATTAGACTGCGGATTTTATACATTCATGGCAAACACGAATGCAGTACAAAGAATGCATACAATGAAAGAATGAAAAGAAATTAAGAATGTCAATGCATTAGTTTGCACTCACTGAAAATGTTAAAGAATCGAAAATTAAATCGTGCAGATCATTTCTATTTTGCATAAAAATCCACAGTCTAGTTATAGTTATAATCGGATATGAAAAAGAGAAGATGGAGAAGGCACTGAAAATATAGAATTAAAATTACTATTACTCAAGGTAGAAAATCTTCTATCAATCATTAAAATCGACGACTAAGTTAAAACTAGCTTCACAAAATGCGCGGAACGAAAATAGTCGACTGTGCGGGAATTATTAATAATTTTTAGAAAAGCCATCGAAAAGGTATCGCAGCAGAAGGAGGAAGCTTTTAAGTGTTCACATTTACCGTTCTCAGCTTCGTGATTAATATATTTGTTAAACTCTGATCAAATACGTAGAATATTAGATTGAAGTGTCCTGATTTCGGAAGCAGCTGAATATACAGTAACATGGACAGAATTTTCTCCGCGCCCTGTACATCAAGGAATTAAGGCGTTTGCTATCAGGGATTGCATTCGTTGGCAGTAAAATCGCAATATCACGGCAAGTACATCAGCTTCCGAAAGCAGAGGCGATCGCCAGAGAGCGCGGTGTCTCGGGCAAAAGGATTCAAATGAAATTCCAAGTCGGGGACCAATATTCTTCGGTCCAGCTGGAAAATCTCTGGGGTGGGAAAGATGATCGGAAGCTTGTTGCGGTGCGATTTTTGCCGGCATGCGTCATTCCTGTCGCCGTTACATTGGATTATGCATACCCGCTCAATAGAATCGGCGAACTTCCGGCGAACTTTGCGGTCCCAGAGCTTTTCCGGCAGGTGCGCGTGCCGCTAACAACCCGGCCGACGAGCCCGCGTTTTTCCGCGATACGAACTTTTTAAATCCCCCGAAAAAGGAAGGAGCAGCTCGGGGAAAGTTGTTATTGCGCCATTGGCGACGGCGTGTTCCGGTGTAGGCGAGGCCGGGAGTGTTGCGGGAGCAGTGTTGGATCGAAGGGTTCTCGCGAGACCGATACCGGAGGAGCCATAATTCACCGTCAGCCGGCAAGAAATATCGGTCCGGCGAGCGCGGGGGAACGCGTCAAAACAGGGAAGAAGGATTCCCGATTAGGTGCGCGTTTTCGGCCTTGTTCGAATCACTCCGTCTGGCTCCCGCGGGGCAACGGGGGCCGAGAGGCTCTCATCAACTCGCAATTAACTAGATTCCGAATAATTAACCTGGCAAAAACAGTAATCGGCTTTGCCGCGGGCAACGACGTCCTACTCGCGTCTAGAATTTCACCGTTCCTCCCGCGTCCCGCCCCTGCTACCGCCGCTGCACCTGCGCTCCTCTCTAGGCCTGCCGTCTCCTTTTTTTCCTCCGCCGCCGCCGCCGTCTCGCCCGAGATATGCAGCCTGCAATTGCAAGCTGCAACTGGCACGCAGCCATGCGACCGCGCACCGCCTACGATGAGCGGGTTGAGGTGAAAATGGAAAAGCTGCACAGACGGCGGAGACGACGATGACGGGGGACACAGACGACGCAGGCGACGGAAGCGACGGGAGGCTGCGGGGCTGTCGGCGAAGACGACGTCTTTTCAGGATTGTAATGGGAAAAGCCGATACGCATCGTGGTGCGCGCACTTAAAGCTGTTTATTCCCCGCGGCACTTATAATGCCTCTATAACTGGAAGATATTCCGACGCGTCTATTCCGCGAGCCGGGATCAGCGGGGACGCCGGGAATGAAACAGAAAGGATCTATTTCGCGGCCAATCTCTATGGGACCCTCCTATCAGACGATCCTGCGAACAATCGCCTCTACCGCTCGCGGAACGCGAGCATCTCGTTACAGTTTACCTCGCGATTCGCTTGTCTGATCGATAGGATCCTCCGCTCGCGAGGATCCAGTTTTACCTGGATTCCGTAATCTCCCGGCTCAGCCGGGTCTGTAATTAGCTATCTCTCGAGATCCTTTTTCCAATCGACGTTCTTGAGATGCGTCAAGTACGAATGACAGCTATAAAGGTGAGCTTTGTGAATTTCTTGCCAGAGAACCGTTCGCGATATCGATTCGCAGCTTATTGGGATGTATAGGTACATTCTCGAATTATACGAAGAGATTTTTTCATACCGAACCTATCGAGTCCTAAGAGTAATTAACGTGTATGGTCATGCAGAGACTGTATTTGTTCAAATCCTTCGTCATTTTTATTATGTTACATGCTAGGATTGAGAGACTCATTCAATCATTTTCGGCCGATCGCATTTGCGCTAAGGAAAACGCGTCATTTGAGAATGACCTCGGGAATCCCTCATTTTCCGGAAGTACCATAATTTTGGGACACCCTGTATTATCGTGCAGCTTCCTATCAATGTCCAGGCGAGGGAGGAATTAACCTCAGTTTGCAACAGTTTGATCACGTTTGAGTAGATTCAGCTTGTTCCGACCCAGTCTGAACCTGCGCTAAATCCAGAAAATTTAATTTACACCGAATTACAAATGTACGAAAGTTGTTTCTTCGCTTCCTGACCGATCTCAAATTAAATTTAAAGTTTCGCGCGTTGATAGTGGACACAAAGAGATCCCCTCGCGATCCACAACAGCTTTTAAATTGCATTTGCGTTTTCATTAGACAACGGATAATCGTGTCAGCCAATTATGACTATGAAATGCTAATATCTAACTTGTGCAAAATTCGGATTACGGTGAATTGCAAATGTATGAAAAATTGTTTCTAATTAAGCAGCAAGCTCGACGACGAATACAAGGACATCTCCTCGCGGAAATTCGCGGACGCCCGACGCCGCTGCTTCGAATTCCCCTCCGTTTCGGCTTTTTACGTCAGTTTTCTTCACTCGCCGTTTCCTATCCTTTTTTTCGAACGCGACGCCGCTCTGATAACCAGCCGGCTAACGATCTCTTTCTGGCTCTCGCTTTCCGGCGCCGTTCCCGTTGCGAGCCGACAACCCATAGTGTCGCTATTCCCGGAAACGTCCACGGCTATTGCTTTAATTTTTCGAGGCGATTCTCCCGCCGCTGATCCTTAAACGCGCCGCCATTCTTATCTGTACCTTAGCCTCGACTCGGTTGGGATCATGTGCTCCTTTGCGGTACAACGCTGTAATGGGTCTCTGCATGGGTAATAGTCCCGCGGGATATCCTTACAAAACCGCGTTCCCGGATAACGAGATCCTCCGGGACTCTTTATTTACATCGTGAATTCCGGGTGGATCCCCGGTAATGATTTTTTAATTAGTTCGAATTGCCTGGTTACAGACATCTTTATATCCCGATCATCGAGATGGGATATGGACGGAATACAGCCTCGGTGACGGTGTTCTTTATCAGCGCATTCTTCCACGAGTATCTGGTCAGCGTGCCGCTCAAGACGTTCAAGACGTGGGCCTTCATGGGCATGATGGGACAGGTGAACGAATTGTCTCGCTGAATTAATCGAAACCGGGCCAAGTATTGCATGAATTATCTTGATTCGTCCGACGTCTGAACAGTCTCATTCAAAATAGTAAAATCTATTTAGATCATACGAATGAACAATTTTATCGAAGTAGTAAAATCTATTTAAATCGCACGATATCCGGACGATTTCATCGAAGCAGTGAAATCTGTTTCGATCGAACGATATCTGAACGATTTTATTGAAGTAGTAAAATCTGTTTCATTTTCATATGACATCTCAACAATTTTATTCGGCCAGTAAAATCTATTTCAATCGTATGTACAATAACGCGATATCTGAACAATTGTTACGCAAAAACAGATTCCCATCATATTACATCGGAACACAATTTCATTAAACTAGTGAAATCTATTTCGTTCATACTTAAATGTATGAACAAATATTTGAAACTGTTCAAAAGTCTGATCGATATGTAAACAATTTGTGATACTCAACAGGTCACCGATAGCAAAAATAATATTACTTTTCTCTGAACTATTTAACCGATTTCTTAACAAATAGTTAAATCGAACGGGTAACTAATTACGGAAGGAATATCTTTGCGATATATACTTTATATACTTTATACTTTATACCAAAAATGTCTCGCAATTCGGAAATGACGGGTTCCTCGGATCATTTGAAGCAACTTCTTCCTTTACAAAAATTTTCTCCGAGGCGTCGTTAACGAGTTATTAACGAAAAACAGTGACCAATAAGATTCGAGTACGGCTGACGCGAGGCGGTCCAGCCAACCAGCGCACGAAGCCCAGTTGCGCTCATTGGCTCGTTCGCCTCGCGCCAGCTGAGCTCGCCTCTCATTGGTCACTGTTTTTCGTTAATAACTCGTTAATGATGCCTCGGAGAAAATTTTCGCAAAGGAAAAAGTTGCTTCAAATGACCTGAAGAAACCGCCACTTTCGGATTGCGAGACATTTTCGGGACACCCTGTAGACATATATTTACGAGTTTATCTTTTAAATATCATCGTTGTTGTCCAACTACACCAGTGTGTCTCTCTAATTGCCCCCTAACGACCAGCTCAATCCACAAAACAAGCGAACAATCCCGCAAACAACGAACCGATAGCATTATCGAAAATTTTATTCAGTGTACGCGATTAATCACGACGACCGGTTCAAATTAGTCAATCGATAGCGGACACGGATCGATAAATAAAACAACGGCGGACAGAGGCGACTAAACAATTAATTCGAACAATATTAACACTTCCAGCCACTTCGAATATTCATTATATTATTTGACAAGTGAGCCTCCACTAATTCCAGCTTGATAATCTACTTCGTGACATAATTGGATATCGTGCTTCTCTAATCGTTCATCGCCGGGGCCCCGGCTAGCGGGCAATTAGAGAGACACCGCCGTTCCGAAGAATGCGGCGAAATGAATAATTAATCGAGCGGCGGGGGTGTCATCGCGTTGAAACTTTTCGAACCGATTTTTCCAGATACCGTTATCCATTCTGAGTAAGAAGGTGGAGCAGCAGTGGGGCGCCAGATGCGGCAATATCGTGGTGTGGGCGAGTCTCATTATCGGACAGCCACTTTGCATAATGATGTATTACCACGATTACGTGATAACTCACTTCGGCGAGATACTGGTCGAGGATTATTCGGTGGTGTAGGCTGCTACTGGACACGATTAAACGGGAAGCGATCGGAGAGCGGGAGAGAGAGAGAGAGAGAGAGAGAGAGAGAGAAGAAAGAGAGAATGAGAGAGAGAGAGGAAAGAGAGAATGAGACAGAGATGGAGAATGAAAGAGGATGTGAGAGAATGAGAGAGAAGGAGAGAATGAGAGAGAACGAAAGTTCTCACCGACGTCGAAAACGGGCCACTTGTTCGTCGACGATCTATCATGCAACGCGTTCCGTTCAGCGAATTATCCTTTTCCGCAAAGTCGACGCAACTCGTCCGAATTTCGTTCCGGGAGAAGCGGACGTCGCGCGCAAGTGCCTTAAGTATTAAGCCATTCAACGAACGCCGGAGAAGCGTCGGCGCTAGGAACGGTCCAGCTCTTTTGTTAAGCGGGTGATGGTTCCACACGGTGATTAAATATTCGCGGGTTAGCTGTAAGACTCGGCCGCGTCGACAGGGCGAGTTTCCGTCGTTCCTTCTTTTCTACGCGATTTACTCGGCTCCGCAGGTCAACTTTTTCATACTTTCATAGAGATTATATACTTTAAGTCGCGCGCCTAGCCGAGAGGTTAGAGACCGAACGGAGCTCGCTCGTGTGGCTCGTATTGGCGCAACGGGGATCCAGGGACCAGCGAGTGAGGGGGGGGGAGTACGATCGAGCCGTTAAAGCGGGGAAGAGTTGTTGCGCTAATCCGAGGCAGACTGTGCGCTCGCGATACGCGCGCGCCGGCTGTTCCGGACTGTCGCGAGGCGCATTAAGGAATTTTATAATTCGAAAGCAGGCCGTGGCCCGATCGCCGGGGCCCCCGTAAATCGTCGGGCTTCGCGCGGACACGGATATTGTGCGTGCGATAAGACAATAATTCACCGTCTTCCTTTTTTTTCCTCCCAGCCCACCACCGCCGTTACGGCCCCCGGACGGACATCCGTAATATTAGCTGTAATAAATTTGTCCGAGAATGGAGTCCGCGTCGTTCCGCGTTCGGTAAATATTTTAGCTAAGCTCTCTGCACGCGTCTAGAAACCGCGCCGCCGTTTCGACGGCGGGCCGATCGTCGACGCTGAAGATTTAACGAACCGCCGCCACTGCTGCAGCCGCCGCCGAGGCTGCTGGTTTATATCTTTCTTCGCGGACAAGCCACCATTTTCGCGGACTTCTACAGCCTGCCCATTGCCGTCATGTAACGCGCAACAGCGCGCCAGTTGTCGAATAAATGAGATGTTTGTTAACTGCCTCGTTAAACTTCTCTTCAACCCTGACAGATACATCTGCGTTCATCTACGGGGACGAAACCGGAGGGGTGTTCTCAAGCGACGACGCAGCCGACTTCTTTTTAAGGGTGCCGCCGCGACGGGGACGTTCTCGCTTCCGAGATTGCCTACAAAATAAGTCATACTTTCGGTATTTCATGATAAAAGACAGATTTTTCCGCGACATAAAAATTGCCCGGACTAATTGCAGGCTACGGATACGCGTTTGTTTTGCAGTTGCAAATGACGCGACAGTGTTTCTCCAAACTGTTTGAACATTTTTAATATTTTTCAGTCGATCCACTCAACTGCCACAAACAGTCGGAACCGTAAAATCACCATTAAAATGATCCCATCAAATCGCAAGTAGAATGAACCGGCAATGGTCAGACCTCGAATCGATCCATATTTTCGAACATATAGCTGCGCAACATCGCGTTTCTAAAACAGATATCGTAGAAGATGCTTCGAGGATTCAGATCGTATCGGTTCTCCGACGAAGAGAGCGTGAGTGTTTATCAATCAGTGTAAATTAGAGGATAAAGGAGCAAAATTTCGCGGCAAAGGGAAAGAAGGATTCCGTCTGGGCTGATTCGTACTCTCGACGAATTCTGTGATATGTGAGCAGGGTATTACTGGAGGGATTTGAAGGACGAATTGAATTCTTCTTGCGTTTCGAGGATCGTTTCGAAGAGGTGTTCCCGGTCTGAGGAGGGTCGACACGCACGGCGCGGCTCGCCGTCACGCAGCTGGAAGGTATATAACAGTGCGTACGCGTCGGCCTGACGTAGACGTATGTCGTGCTGTCGTTGGTGGGGTCCCGGCATCATTAATTTATCCATCGCCGGGGTTGCTCGAGGGCAAACGGTTCGTGACATTCAGACTCATCCGACAGCGGGGAAGGAAAGCTCAAGGGTCACGGCTCGAGGAAAAAAAACGGAAGGCATGGCCCCCTCTCTCTTCCTCTCTCTCTCTTCCTCTCTTTCTGGCAGCGTCTTGAACCGGTCTCGTTCCTTGTTTTAAACACGGGCCAAGGGACGGGCTCGTTCCTCGTCATTCTTTTCCTTGTATCTCCGTCCGTCCGTCCGTTCGTCGTCTCGTTTTTATTTCGTTCCGGTACGGGAGCCAAAAGAAATTTCAGAGAGAGGAGCCAGTATCGTTTAAAAAGATGACGCGGCTGTTACGAGACACCGAGTGCTCCACTGACCCTCTTGACCCCCTTTCCCTCCGCTAGCACCAGTTCCGCGAGACTTTCACGGAAGGTGTTCCGGTGACAGATCTCTCGGAAGCTTCTGAAACCAGCCCTCGTCGTTTCCGGCGGCTCATTTTCTGGAATATACTTTGCCGGAGCGCGCCCTCTTCCTCCTACGCTCCTTCGCCCGATGCCCCGCCTTAGAACGATTGCTAATCATGCCGCAGATATCCACGCCGCACTTCACGATAATTGTCTACGGCTGCTGAAATCATATTCGCGCGCACCAGGTAAGTATCCCTTTTCTAATTTTTACGACTGCGCCGCGGATCTTTATGCCGATTCTCACGTTTTCGTTCTCTGGAAGTTGGAGGGTTCCTTGTGACGTGGGCATTAATTTAATGCATTAATAGCTTTTTCTGGGCTATTTTGGTTTTCTTTTTATACAGAAACTATGCAATTTCTTGCATCGGCGTTTTTATATCTATTTGCTACTCTTTTGGCAACATTTACAAATTTTTACGCCGAGAAATAGTCGAAGTTGGTGGTAGTACGGAGCTTGGAGCATCATAATGATGCGTTTATGGTTTCCGTGATTCCATGATTCGTCTGAAACAACGAAACAAGAAAGATATATATTAATAGAGATGCATTTGGCTATAAATAACTTCGTCAATTTCTCGAATGCTACAATATTCTTCAATAGAAGTATTTTCGAAAGCATATATTTTCAAAAGATGAAATTGAAAAGGATCACGTTTTGGAGGTTCTAGACTCGAATACCTCCTAAAGTTAGTATCGTTTTAGAACAAATTTGAAGCCTGAATTTGGAACAAATTTGTCAGCCAGTGATCAATTAATATCGTTGATTTTTTAATAGAAAAGATCTTTAATATTCTAATATTAATATATATATATTTAATATTCTAATATTCTAATATTCTCTTCAGAGTAAAATATTTATAGCGTTCTTGCGGTTGTGATTAAATTATTATTATAATGGATAATTGAATCCTTTATTACAGTGAAATTTGCAAGAATCAAACATTTACAATGTCGTTCCCGATATTAATTAATTCCTTAATTATGAATGAGATACAATCGAGCACCTGAGAAAAGCGAAATATCACGTCGATCTTGCTGTTAATTAACCGAAAACTGTAAAATTTATCGAATCCACCTGGAATAGACTCACACATTTCAAAGCTTAAAGTCCCTACTTTTACATCCTGCAATTATTTTTCCTATCGGATTTTTTTGCAAGTCGCGGCAGATAAAACACTGCGAACATGTCTTTTCCCAGAAAGTGCATAAAATTCGAGTGCATGTAAAATCTACAAAAATTTTTTGCCGTGACAAAATCTAACGCAGATTTTAAGATTGAAGTCTCTTCTTTCCAACGACACCTCAAAACTTGATCTACGATTTTCTTCAGCTGTTTTATTCAAGTTTGAACGCTAGGTGTACTGTCACCATTTGCTGTGCTAAAAGATGCATCTCGAGAATTTTACATCACGGAGTATGTTCCCCATTTCTGTGCTGTAAAACAGCCATAAAAAATCCTAGATCAAGTTTTTAGGAGACATTGTAATGGGGAGGCTTCAATCTTTAAATCGACGATACTTTCAGTCAGAGACAAAATTTTTTAATGTATTTACAGTCGATTCAATGTAGAATTATCCATACAATTAGTGTCTTCAGTTTCGCTCCTGGCATATCGTGCAAACAAATCTTATCAAAAATTGAACTATTACCCACGAAACTAAAGGTTTCAAGCTTTCAAACGAGTCCAAGCTGTTTGTCATATGACTCGTCCTTACGAAATGACGATACTTTCCGTCGCCACTCTGTTTACACCCCTAAAAAGGCTTCTCGGGCCAGAAAAAAAATTCTCAAAAATCGTTTACTTAAATCGTATGCTTAATATATGAATTAATTGTAAACTTTTGATCATTACTCTTTCTAAGTTGTTCTCTTAAGTTCTAGTTTATTCAAATAATTCAGCAACAAATACGTGCAGTACCGTATCCAATCACTAGGATTAAAAGTCCAATAACTGGGATATACATATATATATATCCGACCAATCACTGGGCCAACGAAAGGGTCTCACATTTTTTCCAATTAAAGGGTATCGCTCCATACAAAGGATTCTTTTGAGATGCATTTTGAAAACTAGACGATCTACCATCCCAGATAAACCCATCCACATAGATATATAACTGGTATTAGTCTGATAACTGTTACGAAAAAATATAACGAAAAATTCTTTCCTCAACCCTTTGTTGTCACGCTTCCTACACGATACACGTATGTCCTACAAGGACATACCTATTTCAATTTTTTAACAACTGTCACTAAAAAGCTAGCAATACTATCGAGACCCAAAAATTTGAGAATAGAACTTGAACATTCTAAAACATCGTTTCCTTTATTAGATCACGATATTTAGCATCCAAGTACAGCAAATTCTCTCCAATTGTTCCTCAGCTCGTAAATAAAACTGGACAATTTAGGAAGTGGAGATACGATTATTCGAACCTCGCGGCTCGTTTTTATACTTTCATACTTTTTATACTTCATGTTTTTATACTTTACAAGCTTAGGGACAATCGGAGAGAATTTACTGAACATCGAATTGCAGTAATTTCTCCCTAATTCGCGCTCAGATTGCGCACAAAAATGGACAATTTGGGAAGAGGAGATACGATTATTCGAGCCTCGCGGCTCGCTTTTATACTTTCATATTTTTTATACTTTATGTTTTTATACTTTTCAAGCTTAGGGACAATCGGAGAGAATTTACTGAACATCGAATTGTAGTAATTTCTCCCTAATTCGCGCTCAGATTGCGCACAAAAATGAACAATTTGGGAAGAGGAGATACAATTATTCAAGCCTCGCGGCTCGTTTTTATAATTACCGATTCCCAACAACTATAAAAACGAGCCGCAAGGCTCGAATAATCGTATCTCCTCTTCCCAAATCGTCCATATTTGCGCGCGATCTGAGCGCAAATTACGAAGAAATTACCGTAATTGTTAACTTCCTACTTTACGCAACAATGTCGCACTTTCAAAAAGAAAAACATGGGATGTTTCGAACTACTGTGGCAGCGATGGATCAATCATCCAATCAGCGGGCAGTATACCTTACCGAGAAAGCTTTCGGAACGCCAACAATCGAGCAACGATCGCGGATGGAAGAAGCGGGCGCGGCGCGGTTCGCCGGATTCGTTGGTTCGAAGCAGTTCAATTTTCGCGCACGAGGTGTCGAAGCACACTCAAAGAACGCATCGGCTGGTCTTTTGAACGCTTATTCCGGAACGCTTGCGTTATCCTGTAAGGCGGGCAGCGCGGCGTGGCGGCGGGTCGTCTGCTGGTAGGAAGGGGTTGCGAGGTTCGCGGTACGGCGCAGAGGGTCAAAACGAAGGGTGTGGAGTGAGAGAGCCGGCGCAGGGGTAGGGGGTACCGGGAGAACAAGGGGTGAAAGTGGGAGTGCGAGGAGCGTGGGGTGGCGGCGAGTAGAGAAGGGGAGGCGCGGTGCGAGCGCAACACGATGCTATAAGGGCGGGTACGCAGCGGAGTCTCCGCAGTGAGCGTCGCGACGCCTTCGGAGACGTATCGGGTGGAACGGCCGGTCGTCGATCGCCGGTAACACGAGGCGATTCGGTTCGATTCACACGAGTCCTCGCCGCCACCGCCGCCGTCGCCGCCGCCGCTTGTGCTTCTGTGCTTTGTGCTTGATTTGGTTCTGGTTACCTGGGAAAAGAATCCGCCGCGAGGACCAAGAAGACTCGCGAGCGAGACCGTCGAGCGAGAGGAAAGGAGGAGCTGTTATCGAATTCCGTTCTACCCGGCGGAACAGCGTTCTCAAAGGGCAACCGAGGTCTCTCGGGCCGAAGAAGGATGTTCCTCGAGTGTCATCGTACTTACCGGTACGTACAGCTTTAATATTCGAAGGCTTGCCGCCGCCGCCGCCGCGCCAACGGATTTATTCACGGGGACAGCGGGTTCAAAATATCCGGCGAATCATATCCGAGGGAATTTCGGTCCTCTGTTTTAGGAGACCCGGGATTCGATTATCGCTGTTATTCTATCGGCTACATGCGCTGCTGAACGCGATTATAGCCCGACATATCGGATATCTCCGGTAATGTCTCCGGTAATTTTCTGCGGGCTTGTTCCCGTGTGTCGCGTCTCTGGCTCACGTTTGCGGGACGGCGGATGAATGATTCACGGGATGTAGGTTGGTCGTTCGCTTGGCTCGGGCCGTTTCTAAAAAATGAATGGGACCGTGGTAGTAGGATCGCTCCGCCGAGAAACCGGATAAAGTGATCGCCGCGAGTAGAACGCGACGTCCTATGGCCAGACCACGCCGGCTGACTCGGATAAATCGGATCGGAGAGGGTTTTATTTGCTCTGTTTCGCGACTAACGGTGAAACGATAAAACGGAATCGAAAGATCGGCCGTGCCGGTTCGCCTCGATTCTCTCCCCGGGAAAAGGCAGGGCCGTCACGTCATTCCGCCCGGCGCGATAACAATGACTCGACGTTTGCTAAGGACCGAGAAGTAATTTCGCCTCGAAGAAAAATGGTGCAGCCCGGCTCACGGCTCGGCCCGACCCGGCACGGCCCGGCCCGGCCCGGCCCGGCCCGTCCGTCATGATTCGCCGGAGCCGAAGAGACGGAGAACAAGAGGCCGACGCACGGGAAATTGAAACGATCCCCGATAGAGCTCGATCGTCGAATGATCAGCAATATCTCATACGGGCCGAACGTGACGCGGCGTTGCGATCTTTTTGCCGGTGACGCCGCCGAAAATTATTCGCAGTCACGTGCCGATATTAGCCCGAACGCGAAACGATCTCTGCGTGTGCTCCGTGGAAAATCGACAGATGTATTGTATGCCATGTGGACGAGATTGACGGGGAACGCGTCAGATGGTTCGCGATGGTCAGCCGGAACTTTTGGTTTTACCATTAATGAAGTCACGGGAACGCGGTGTTGCAGTCGGTAGTTTCGAAACACGGTTCCGATGTAACACGTTGCGGAAATTGCAACAGTTATTTTACAAGACGATGGTTCTGTGACAAGATTATTTTCCGGCACAGCTCATATTCGAAGCAGAAATGTTTCCGTTGCGTCGCGGTTTTTTCATTGAGACAAGCAAGACGTTCGTGTCTTGTACGTACATACAGAGTAACGGTTAGCTTGTTCTCATTGAAAATTAATTCAGTATAGACGGTAGTACTAAGTTTACAAATTTAGAGTGACATTCGCACGTATTAATTCGTATTAATTAGAATAATAAACATATTCGTATTAATTGTACCGTTTAGTTTTGAAAAAACGTTCGATGTTCGTCTTCGTTGCATAAAATCATGAAAAACATGTTAAATATATCTTTTAGGACGAATAAACAATTTTTTTTACAGCTGATCGCTACGAAACAGTATTTGTGCGAGTGAATTTGCAAAGTACAACGTTCGAAAATATGGGTAGAATTTGTTTACATCCGCTTTCATATGGTCTGTTTATGTTTTGATTGTATCGTTTCTGCTACTGTTTCACGAAAGGGTTACAATCGAACGGTGTTTCATAATTGGT